TTTCCATTTTATTCTTTTTTTTTAAATGGTAATTAAATTTAGATCCAATTTTGTAAATGAAGTTAAAATTGACTCTGGCCTCTAATAAAAATAATTTAAAACATAACATATTAATTATAATTATCTTTTCAAAAAAGTATATAAACTATTAGATTCGAATTATTAAATATCAAGCAATCAGAATATTAATGAATATAAAGTAATTAATAAATGTGTGAAATATGATAAAAAAGAAATTATTACAGATAGAGTTTCTTATGAAAATGCAAAGCAAGGGTGACACCAACAAAACAGAGCATTATTCAAGGCTAAATGGATAAAAGCTTAATTTAGGTCTCTTTGCAGATAGAAATTGATCCATAGCATTCTTGATTCTTGGATGTTTGTTGAACAGATCCTCTTCACTCTTATAAGGCCTCTTTAAAACAATATTGGTTGTAGTAAGGTCACCAGCACCAGGTATATTATTTTTAATCATATCCCAACCAGAGAAGTTAGGATTAATGTCATTGGTAATAGAAAGCATGGCACGTGTTGAAAAGACTGGACCAAAATATGCTGCAAAGTTTTCTTTTGAAATAAGTAAAAAATCTTCATCAAGATCTGCAACATCACCATCAAATGGTTGTGTAGTAAAAAGAATTGTTACAATATGACAGTCAGCAAAAACTCCATCTGAATTATAAAGACTCTCAAGATTTTTGTTTATTTCCTTATGGAAATCTTTAATTGTACATTGTTGTGCATTAATTGATAGTTTGTTTTGAAATGCTTCTAAGAGATATTTGTTGCAACCAAGGATGTCTCTAACAACAAATGAATCTGCAAATTTTGCTGATGTGCCATTTATAATCAAATGATCTCCTTTCATCCAATCAATGTGTTTATGATTTTTGTCCACCAAATTTTCACATGGAAATTGACCATGGGCTTGTATTACAGAAAGGTCCTTCAGCTTTACAACAATTCTTAAAGTTTTCTGTGTTCCATATGCATTATTATGTAAATCCCTCAAAGTTATTGTTTGGTAATTACATTGTGTAAGCAAATTGGTGTGAAATGTTATATAGTATGCTACAAATTTCTCCCACTCATTCCAACTAATGTTCTGACTCATGCTAATTAATGTCTTTTCTAGTATTGTTGGCTCCAATATTTTTAAAACATCATTATAAAGACAGAGAAAAAAGATTGGCATTTTGATATAA